CTGTGGGAGATCAGGAGAGCTGTTTATAGACTCACCCTCAATCAGGAGTCCCGCAGGTCCACATACAGTTTTAACCTTTGATCAAAGCTGCTCCTGCCTTTTGGTGACATCTTTCACCATTTGCAAGGCTGCAAGTGTATCCCGATTCGACAAACTCTGAACGTTTTTTAACTCAAATTGCGATTTTGTCGCATTCATGGGCTCCCTGGAGAATAATTTATTAAAGACGGAATTGTTTCCTCCGCGAGAAATGAGAGACCCCCCTTCGCTTTTTGTGCTCCTTCTGAGCATGTCTGCCGTCGGCGTCAGTGGTTGCTTCTTTTATTGTGACAGCGTTTCCTCTTCTTCACCTCTGCTCCTCTTTATCTGCAGCAACATACGATGTTCCTGCGCTGTGCGTCGCTGGCAGCATCTCAGCCCCTCGAGGAGTTCATGGGAAAACAGCGCTGATGGGAAGGAGCCCAGGAGAGAGGGGACAGCTTTTTCCCCCCTTCTGCTCTGAGCACTCTCTTCAGTGGATTTAGGAGCGATGACAGCGCCGTCCGAGGCTGAATGAAACTTTGGATTTTCCCGGCCGAGCGCATGTGAAGGACCTTCTTTTTGGGGAAACCCCCGGTGGATGCTGCAGGTGAGGGGGCTCCGCGGCTGGCAGGCTGCAGCTATGGACGTTGAGAGGTTTCCTCCCTCCTCATCAGTGACCTCGCCGCCGACTTCGTCCCACCATGCCAGACGACCCCGCCGCCTCCGTCCTCTACATCGTCCTGGAGCTGCTGATCGCCGTGTTCTCGGTGCTGGGCAACGTGCTGGTGTGCTGGGCCGTGTGCCTCAACAGTAACCTGCAGAGCATCACCAACTTCTTCGTGGTGTCGCTGGCGGTGGCCGACATCGCCGTGGGCGTCCTGGCCATCCCCTTCGCCATCGTCATCAGCACGGGCTTCTGCTCCAACTTCTACGGCTGCCTGTTCATCGCCTGCTTCGTGCTGGTGCTCACGCAGAGCTCCATCTTCAGCCTGCTGGCCATCGCCATGGACCGCTACATCGCTATCACGATCCCACTCAGGTCAGTGACCAGGGGGGCGCCGCTCTGAGGACGCAGCTGTTTCTAAGAAAGTCTGCTTCCACTTTGAGGGGAAACTGGTTTACAAAAGTTTTGTTTACTGCAAACTCAGATTTTTTATGTTTAAAGACCCATCACACAAGCTCCATATTTAATATGATTAATGTAAGTTTTGAACGTGGCCTTTTCTTGTTTATTGAGGTTGAACTCTTAAGACTGTTCATAACATGAGGGTTAGGGGTGTTGTAAAAAGTTTTAAAAAGTCAGAAAAAAAGCACCTAGATCCTAAAACACAAAGGGATGCCATCACGCAGCGTCCCCTTGTTGCCATCAGGAAATGTGAATAAATGCTGTCTCCTTTTTTCCTTGATAAGTTACAGTCATTAAATGTGTGTTTTTTGGCAGAAAGCGAAAGCTGTTCAGGCTTTTGTGGCCATGAGCCCCTGATGGGATAACTGAAAACTCAGTAAACTCTTAACTTTGCCTATGTACTGACAATCCCAGAGACTGAAAGGAAACACATCATCTATGAGCTTTTGAGTTTCTTACATAGGCTGGTTCTCTTGAAGAATAGCTCTTGTTGCTCTGGGTGATGTTGAGATCGTCCCTGGTTTGCATACAGGCTTAACGGGGTACATTTGGCACCTTTTCTCCAGAAATAAAAGACTGCTATTCAAAGAAATCGTAGCTTTCTAAATTCCCACTGCGCACCGTTTTTTGCAGGCATTTTTATCAAGCATTGTCAATAAAGAATTACAGAGCGGAGAGGAAATCCCAGATCAGTGCTCACATATTTTCATTTATTTGGCTTACACACATATATGCACACGTACCCATTACTGAGGTAAAATCCTGCTGGGTGAGTCCAAGAAGGCCTAGTTTTGAGTCTAAAGGTGTCCACACTGGGTTATATATGGAGAATATGTTTAATCTTTCCCAAGTTGAATGAATTGCATGAGGTCACTCAGCCGTAATGGCACTTTGGGGGGATTCTTGGATTTAACGATTGATTTTCAACCACCCAGGCAAGGTTTTAAGGATCAAAACCTTTGAGTTTAGTTGTTCCAGCTGTTTCGATCCCTCATGCAAACAGCTACTTCTGCAGCCTGTCTGGATGAGGAGTTCAGAGGAGGGATAGGGATGGCGGCTGAGGCAGCTGCTCGGAGTTGGGTGGCCAGAACAGCAGCCAAGCTGATGCCGGCTGTCGGTTTTCACTGAAAAAAACAAAGGCGCATCTCAGAAAATGGTGGTAAAGGTCGTACTTTGGGCTCGTGGTGCTTGCTCCAGGCGGCAGAGCCTTCACAGTAACGGCTCGCATTTCATTTCCGTCTGCACAGGCCTGATATTTGTGCCCAAGGGAGCCTTGGCTGATTTTGTGTGTCCAGAAATGGCGTCTCCCACCGGGCCACGTCCCCCCGGGGCAATTGGATAAATATTGTTTTAATTGCTTATACAGACCAAGTAATCCCCTTGTTCCGCTGTGAAATCTGGCCTGGGTTTGGTTTAAAAACACCGTTGGGCATCAGATCAGCTGTTCAGACCTTGACTCTGACGGGGACGGTGCATCCACAGACCTGTGGGTCGTCCTGACCTCAGAGACGCATCGAGCCGCTCGGCCTTCCTGTTTCAGACGCCTCACTTTCAGGCTACGTGAGGGCTCCTTTGCATTATTGTTGTTTATTTTTGTCTTTTGCATCCCAGACGGGATGGGGAAGGTGGGGGTCTTGTTTTTACAGCATTGACCTTTGCACTTTAACATCTCAAGAATGTGCTAAAAACAAGCCAAACGTCTCAGCTGCTCTCCCACACTGCGCAACAGGCAAACCCAAAATAGACTCCTTCCTTTGAGGGATCCTGAACGGCCTGCTTGGTTTATGCTTCTCCCATTCGGATCCGGGATGAGAATAGCTGGAGCAGAGACTCAGCACTTCATATGCTACATAAGAGATGGATTACTGTGTTGTACCAGACACAAGCGGACTGTTTATTCTAATGGCTTCAGGTCATCCGGCTGAGGATGTCCTCTGGAAGCAAACCACTTGCTCTCGAGTGGCCCGTTTCCTAAGCACGCACTCAGTTTTTTTTTTTGCCTTTCCGGTGGGGGCTAACGCCTGGTACCAGGTGCAGCTCCAGCACCTGCTCGGCCGGGGCCCCAAAGCAAGTCGGGTCGAGCCGCCTGCAAGCCTCCGATTGGCCAGAGAGGGACGTCACTGGATTAAAGCGACTCCTTCAGAGTTTTAAAAGATCTGCCAATAAGGGCCATGAGGCCACTCGTTCTGCACAGTGCGGCCCGCTGATCTCCGTAGCCTTCCTTAATTGGCTCTGTATGAATGTCAATGTGTTATTACTCATGATCATTGTCCATTACGATGACTTAGATCCTTATTGGCTTGAGTGGGACTGTGTTTTTTAAATGTTTTAAGATATTTGCCGTAAGCAGAAGCTACATACATAAGGTTTCAACAGCTGGGTGTCTTGTTAATGAGCAATGGCAGGTCGGAGTTAAAGATGGTTAAGAAGGAGCTAAACCAAAAGGAAAAGCTCTCGATCTACTGGTCCGTCTTTGTTCCAACTCTCACCTTTGGAGGGGGTCTGGGCTCAAAGTTGGAGAAAGGGTGAGGATCCATGAGGAGCTTGAAGAGCCCTCTCTGCTCCTTATCGAAAAGGGTTTTCTAGGCAATATCCTACTGGGAGCAAACCCCGGGTTTACACCCAGGACTAAATGGACTAGATGGAGGGATTACATATCCCGTCTGGTCTGGGGAAACCTTGCAGGGGGAAGGGATGTCTGATTTCCCTCTCTAACCTGTTAAGAGACCGAGACCGAATCTTGGCTACTTGGATGAAAATGAATGGATGGAAATTAGATGAGTGTGCATGTCCTCCCGGAATATGTGTGGATTGTCTCTGGGTTAGATTCTTACCTCCATCCCAAAATGCGTGTTGGGTTAATTAATTACTTAACTGTCTCTAAGAGTGAGTCTGAGTGTCACTCAGACACCAACCAACCCTGCCTAAAAGGACCTCACAGAGCTGAGTCGCAGCTGGCTCACAGATGTTTGACGTCTGCCTTGTCGCCCCCCGCAGGTACAACAGCTTGGTGACGGGCCGGCGGGCTCAAGGCATCATCGCCATCTGCTGGGCGCTTTCCATCGTCATCGGTCTGACCCCCATGATGGGCTGGCACAAGGTGGCGGTGGGCGCGGAGGGCGCCAACAGCACCTGCCCGCCCGGCCTGATGAAGTGCCTGTTCGAGGAGGTGGTGGACATGGAGTACATGGTCTACTTCAACTTCTTTGCCTGCGTCCTGATCCCCCTCCTGCTCATGCTGGCCATCTACCTGTGCATCTTCATGGCGGCCCGCCACCAGCTGAAGCTGATTGAGGTGAAGGCGGCTCACGGGGAGAAGTCACGCTCCACGCTGCAGAAGGAGGTGCAGGCCGCTAAGTCCCTGGCCATCATCGTGGGCCTGTTTGCCGTCTGCTGGCTGCCGCTCCACATCATCAACTGCTTCACGCTCTTCTGCCCCGACTGCCCCCGGCCGCCGCTCTGGATCATGTACGTGGCCATCATCCTGTCGCACGCCAACTCGGTGGTCAACCCCTTCATCTACGCCTACCGCATCCGCGAATTCAGGCAGACCTTCCGCAAGATCATCCGGCGCCACATCCTGGGCCGACAGCAGGCCCTGGGGAGCGCCGGCAGCGGCCGCAACTCCACGCACAACAGCATCACGGACTCCATCCGGCTCGAAGCCAACGGGCTCAGCTTCGACCTGTTCACGGAGCACGGCGGCTACAGGGGCTGCGGCCCCGCCCACTTCCCTGCTGCCAGGGGCAGGCTGCCGGCCCAGCCGGCCCGCCCCCCCCTGCCCACCGTCACCTCCCAGTGCCCCCAGGCCGGAGCACAGGCCCCGGAGGAGAGGGCCAAGCAGGAGCTGGACTCCGCGCCGGTGTCGGCGCCGTTCAGCAAACACAAGAGGAAGGGCTGCTTCTGTGAGCTGGAGAGGGTGTCCTGACCCCCAGCCTGGAAGGCCTGCATCCGCTCAGGCTCCAGAAAGCTCACAGAGATTAACAAAGTAAGCTCATTGCCAAAAAAAGAAAAATAATCACTATTTAAAATACAGCAGTCTTTTTAATTTACGACAGAATATGAGTCGAAAAGCACAAACAGACACTTGGGGTACTTCACAATCAGAGATTACTGAGATTTCTTCAAGTCTCTGTTTTTTCTCTATGGACTTTTCGGACTTTGCCCGAAGCTTAAGAAGAATGGACCGTTGTTTTATTTTAAAAAATGCCACTTTTTCCTAATTTGTTTCATAAATGTGAACATGAACATTCACTGAAATCACCTCGATGATGAAGAAGGATATTGTTTCCTTTATATTCTGTAGGAACGGCTTCGATTCACCAGCTTTGTCCTCGGGAACTTGCAGTCGTCCAGTTTCATTTTGCACCCCGATGCTTCCTCTCTGGTCAGACCGGGTCGTGTTTTTAGTGCCTGGGATGTTGTGAAAGCAAATCCCGGATATTTGAGCAGGCAGAGCTGAGAATGTAAACCTGTTTGTTTGCTCTGTGACGGCGAAGCCTTAATGAGGCGCTCTCATTTAAGCCAGTCATGCTGATCTTGACACCGCTTGAAGGAAGATGGGGAATCAATTAAAGAGGATTGCAGTGATTATACTTTGAGCTCAGGAAGGATCTCTTGAATGTTTGAACATTGATTTATTTTTCTTGAAAAATGTCCGTGTATTGCATCATCTGAGATGTTTTTCCAGCTCGTGTCTTAAAAGTTGTGTCTGAGATCTCCCTTGCTGCCTTTACATATTTGTAAAAAAACAAAAAAACATCTTCATGTCTCTGTTGGCTTTTTTGTAGCCTTTTCTACCCTTGTTTGCTCAATCCAAATTGTGATAAACCTGCCTGATCCTTAACTCATTGACTGCCAGGCATTTTCAGAGCAGAGAGTCCCATACTGCCAGAGTTTTTTGAGCATTTTGACTGATTTTTCAAGAGCGACAGAATAGTTTGTGCTATGACTATGTAAACACCGAACATACCAAAAGAAAGAGTAGACTCTCTTCTTTCATCAGGAAAAAAATAATTGTTTCTACCTTATTCCCTTCTTCCTCGACTTGCGTCTCACCGGCACCATTTCTCGCATAGCGAACCATTGCGTTTTTCTTATTTGCCTACAGTCTATGCTCATCTCCCATCAAAAGTGGCACTGCCACCTAAAGGGTCAACTTGTTAGTACATACTCTGTCTAGAAGCCGATATTTACGGACAAGCTTTAGCCGATCGTCCCCCAAGCCACTCGCATTGAAAAACATAAAAGACGTCTATAGACGTCTTTGGCAGTCAACGGTTGTATTTGAATTGACGTTTATAGACGTCTTTGGCAGCCAATGAGTTAAGAACACGAGAACGAGCACTCAAAAACTGGTGTAGACAGACGTGAATGTGTAAATGTTTCATTCCTGTAATTAGGAACTGTCTGACTTAATAAATCCATACAGTTGTTCCAGCTGTCATTTATAAAACCAGATGGATTTTCTACATTGTTCTTCCTTAGCTGATCATTTTGCTGGTCAGCGACTTACAAAAAGAGGATTTAAGAGGTGAGTTACACACTCACCATCCGGCTGCTCCATGCTTACAGACAATAACCGATGCAAAATAGATTACCAGCAGAAGCAGGTGTTTCATAGAACTGTTAGTCATAAACCTTAATAGTTCGTGGGTAACCTAAGCATCTGTAAAGGTTACACAAATCAGTCACTGCAAACAGGTTTCAGGGGCTTAGTTCAGCCGGACAATAAAGGGCATTGTAACCCCACGATTTAAAATCTTAAATTCCAGCTCTGGAAATTAGAACGCCAACCCGAAAATAGGGTCTTCTTCCTGGTATTCACATGTTAATCAGCATCCTAACTTTAATGAATAACACACTAAGCCCCAAATTAAAAACAAAGTGCTTGAATAAAAAGCAGCTGAGCTCCTTCCCCTGCTTCTTGATGGTGATTCGCATCTCACCTGAAAACCCCCTGATTGATGTACAGTTTTGGGCATTATTGCAGCCACTTTAAGGCTCTCTGCAAACAGCGTTTGCTGGTTTGAGTGTGTGACAGGAAGCTGTCCAACGGGCAGCTGTGCGGTGCCAGTCCGTGTGTTTGCTGCAGCTCCATGGATACAGCATGAGCAGGCCTTTCTGGCCCTCGTTTACGAGGCTCCTGCTTTGTAATGGCTTCACGCTCGGAGCAAAGCTTATGTGAGAGAGTCTGCACCCATAAAAGCACAGAGCGCCTTTCTCGCCACTCCAAGATTCCTCCGGGCAGTTTGGCATGTGGACATGTTTTGAGCTGTGGCTCTCTGCAGTTTCTGTGGAGCCCACCAGCAGACCGGAGCAGGAGATGTTCGTCAGCATCCTGTTTGGAGGTCGGTGAGGCTTCTGGGAGCCTGACGGGTGTTTTATATGATTCACAGGATTGTATTTCAACGCAAATGATTTGATAAAGAGAGTTTTCCTCACAGAAGGCAGGACGGAGATCCTCAATCTCAACTGCAGGCTGATTAACTTCATCCATCACTTGAAGGAACGGTGTGGCCTGGATGTCAAAGGTGATGCTTTCAGCTTTATAGAAACTAAAGAAAGATATTAGCAAGTCTATTACGATTACCAGTAAGGTTCTGTCCTTTAAAGCCGGTGAGATGCGAATCACCATTTGCTTCTACCTGTCAGCGCTTACATCCTGGTGATTTGCGGCCCTTAAGCCTAAATGCAGCCTCTTTCTTCTACAAGAAAGCGTGGACCTGATGGACGCCAGCGGCCGAGTGATGAACCTGGAGGCGGTGCAGCACAGCCTGGCGCCGGCCAGCGGCGTGCTGGCCGAGCGGCAGCACTACGTCCTCCTGCGGGTCTGCCGTGAGTCCGGCTGCTCCATCCATCAAAGCCACTTCAAAGCGACGCCCACCCCGATCAGGGGGGAGACACTTCAAAGCTGAATGTGGTTAACAATGTCTGGCCGGAGTGATCTGATTCCAAAGCAAATGACACGAGGAGGAGAAAGGGAAGGTGCTCTTTGAGGTTTTGCACGTGCCATCGATTAAACGGGCTGCATGCTACAGTCCCGGTTTAATTTTTGGAAGCAAGGCCTTTATGTGGAGAAAGGATTGGTCTGGGTTTTAATTGTCAGGACGTCATCAGGTTGCTGCAAACAAGATGCATAAAATCTCAGATGAACAACAAAACACGCTGTCCTGCACGCTTCCAGGCCTCCTGCTCCAGCACGCCTAATTCCAATAAAAAGGACGGCTCTTTAAGCTCTGCACAGGGCTGATTAGCCCGTTAATCAGGTGTGCTTGGAAAACATGCAGGACAGAGTGTACGGAGGACCAGAGTGTGGAAACAAACAGAAACTGGTGGAGAAATAGAGAGACTGTCTGGGTTTGTTTTCTGAACATTCTGAGCAAACATCTCCACTTTGCTCTACTCTTTGTTCCAGAAGTCTTTGTTCGGACGCAGCTCTGCAAACCTGTGCTGACCTACCCTGTCCTTTTTCCTCCTACCTGTTCGGTCTGTTACTGACTGTCCTGCCATGACCTTTGACCTTTGAGCTGCTAACTGAGGCCTGCAGAGTCTGAGCAGTGACCTCTCCGGAACGGCTGTTCTGAATGCTTTCCACTTTTTTTCTCTCTCTAGAATGACGGATTGGAAATAGTTTGGAAATGACCTTTTCATAAGGTTATGGGATTTTTTGATAATGTTCTAATATTTTTCCCAGTTCTGAGTTCTGGTATATTCTTGCTTTCTTGTTTGTTTGTTTTTTTCTTTTGAGCTCTGTGTTGTTGTTTTGCTGTTTATCCCAGTTTCAGGGCTCCTTGTTGTTCTCATTTCATCTCCTCTGTGTTTTTCCAGCCCGGTCAGCTGCTCCCCTCTTCATTCACTTACCCGCCTCCTCGCTCAGGTCTTTATTAGATCCTTGTCTCACTGCTATCTTTGGCCTAGACTCACTGCTTCATTGTTCAAGTCTTTGTTTTTTCATTAGTATTTAGTTTGGTTTGTTCAAGTTAAGTTCTTGGCTTCTCATTTTTTTATTCATTTATGTATCTTTATCAATAAACCTTTATTAAGTTACCTTTCCCCTACTCATTGACTATACTGTATCCATATTCTTGCTACCTGAGCTTACAGAGCTGCACACTTCTGCTTTAAAGAGGTGCTCACACTGACTTATGATGTGTTCATCAGAGCATTTGGTTTCCAGTTGCTGGTTGCCTCTAAAACAGTTTTATGTCCCATCAAAGCAGCAGCACACTCATTTCACATTCAGATAATGTTTCATTATGTCCTGATAATGTTTGACCTTTTCCAGGTGATGATGAATCTGGAGGGAGGAAATATGTCCCTCTGCTAAACAACTGCAGCCAGAGTCACCCGGAGTTAACGGGTAACAAAGACCACGCCTGACCAAAACTGAGCGGCTCTCTGAGGCCTCCTGCTGGTCAAAAGTAAATCTTTATTTCTTTTTATTTAATGGGAACTGGTTTGCTGCAGACCTCCTGAAGAAGCTGTCAAACCCCAACAAAGAACCAGAGAGCGTGACCAGAAGAGGACGAAGGCAAAGGCGTAAAAATATCCCATCCTGTGACAAGGAATAGAAAGAAAGATACTCTTATGTCACTGAAATGTTAAAAAGTGATGAATACGTAGATATCATAATATGAAATGTCAAATGTAAGAATGTAGTGTACAAATGTATTAAGAAAAGTTGTACCAAGAAAGAAGTAGAACTTCGTTAAAATAAAAATGATACAAACTGACCTTTCTGGTTTCTTTTTGTTTTTTTCCTTGTTTTAATCCACCATCCACCAACTAGTAAATTATTTAACCAAAACATTGGACACAAGTCTGAAACAACGGGATTACAAGCAAAAGCTAATAAATTATCCCTACTTGTCCGAAAAACAAAGAAAGGTCTTTGATTTCACACAAGCTATGCTTTAATGCCAAGAACTCCCCTAAAACAGAGAAAAATACTCTAAAAATGCTGTTATGTGTTGTTTTTGCTGTCATCTGGTTACTAAGTGCCTGAGGAAATGAGTTAATATTATTCTGTACTGGTCTAACCCTTGAATTAGGGGCATTTTTTGTGGTTGAGCTATACAGAACTTTAAAAATCCAAAGATGTTTAGCCAACAACAGAAGAAGCCAATTTCCATAGAAACACTAAGGCCTCTAGAAACCCAGGAAACTGATACTCAATATTAATTTAAAAGTTGGAGAATGAATGTGAATCTGGACTTTTTCTCAGATCTGTATGCGACTAAATTTTATATTTTCGATTTTCACACATGAAAAACTTTGCTGGTCAAAGCTATCTTTTTTAATGTTATCATACTTTGATGTAAATGTAACGCTCTATATTCAGGTTTACATGCAATTAACGGGCACTGCACCGTTTCAGTGTCGCCATGTGGGACCTGCCGGAAGTCTCGTGAGATCTCGCGAAACTTCACCTGTCCGTCCACCTCTGTGTCCTTCCCCGCCTCCCCCATGGTCCTGCGGTGATTAAACCCGGTCAGCTGAACACAAAGAAACAGTGGGGGGTGGGAAGGGGGCATTCTGTGGTCGTTGACCCGCTTCCGTCACGCTCAGGTGGAGCCTCCTCTGGTGGCAGAGCTCGGAGTTACATAACGGGGCGAAAGGGACAAAACGTGGGCTCGCCAAGAAGAACACCACAACGAAAAGAAGCACCCAACCGCCCCCAGTCCACCCAGAAAGTAAAAACATCCCCCCAAAATGTCTGCATGCGAGTTTGAGTCGCTGGAGAAATCCTTGGAGTCGCACCTGCCGGAGGCCGAGCTGGCGGAGGTGAAGCGAATTTTATTCGGGAGGGAAACTCTGTGAGTGGACTCTTTTTTTTTGTCTAATTGACTTAACACGTGATTTCCTAAATAATCTTATTTTTTTATGCGTTTTCCTGTCCATTTGTTAAAGTATTAACCGCTGAGCGGACTTTGGTCGGCCCCCCAGCCCCTGGCCGGCTCAGTGACCTTTCACCTCTGATGAAAGGATGACTTATTAAGGGCCCGCACGCGTCCACTCAGAGTCCCAAATGGATTCAGCTGTGCAGAAATTGTACCGGATGCTTAATATGCTTCTTACATTTGATTGGAAACTTCTGACAGCAATTAACCAATAGCAGCAAAGTGGGACGTTTTTTTTTGGACAAGTTTGGATACTATAAGTTTCTTTTTTGATTTACATGAATTTGTAAATGGAAAGTAAGTTTCATTCCCATTTTATTTTTAAGAACAATTAACCCTAACATATCTTATTATAGACCATATACTATATGATCACAACCATCTTATTTACACTCAACACAAATTACATATATTTTTAAATATATAGCACAATAGACCTCATTTACTGAAAATGACAGTTAATTTTTAATGGAAAAAGCAGAAATTATTCACTCCTTTAGTTCTTTTCGGCTCAAAGGCTCACAGGTAGATGGAAAGCCCTGACTGGCATATGTCAAAGTTTACTGGCAGTAAATATTCCCAGCTGTGGTCGTCCAGGTCAAAGTGCATGTTTTCTAATGCATGAGGCACTAAATGCTCCCACAGTTCCTTTTAGCTGACTTGTTTCCAACACATTAGCATAAAGTTTACCTTCATTTTTGGAATGGATGCTGGAACAGAGCTCATTTACACGAATCTACGCCCATTTTTAAAGTAAAAATAGCAGGAATGATTAATTATTTTCACTATAGTTTGGATCAGAGGCTCATATACTAGTTTATTATTAGATAAGATAGTAAAAGAGCACATTATAGAACCATCTGGGAGATTTATGGGCAGTTACATGAAAGAAAGCCAAAGGTATGACAAAATAACTTTGAAAAACAAGTCAAACTGACCCAAAGACAGAGTTATAACTGTTCCTGTGCTGTCGTGTAAAGGTTATAAGCCCATTAGATACGGACACAAAAATTATTCAACAGTGGGAAACATTCCGGACGGCGGTCAGTCCTCTGGATGGACGCCATGAACACAGACAAGAGGAGTCTTCTTTCTCTCAGGAAGCTGGACCTTCCAGCCTGTGCTGTGGAGGCCGCCTCTGAGCGAGACTTCGAGCTGAAGGGATACAAGTTTGATGCCGTCCAGGAGCAACTGAGGCCTCCCAGAAGGGTCCGGGTGGGACTGGTCCAGCACCGGATCGTTCTGCCGACCGACGCCCCAGTCCTGGACCAGGTCAGCTCCTCCTCCCTCCCCCTCCTTTATGCACTACACAAACAGGAAGTTATGGGCAGACATGATGATGGGAAGAAGCTGGTGTGGTTTATTTGTTTTTGATATTTCATAAAGAAACTCTCCTCCAATTTTCCCTTAAAAATGACCTCCTTAATAGACCCTGCCTCCTCTGACAAGGACGCCGACCTCTCAAAAAGGACGGGTCGAGCACAGACACATTTAAGGGTTTAAGAAAAGAGCCACACCTGCCTCAACACACCTGCTTCACATTGCTGCACCACTAGCAGGCCAAATTTATAATAATAAATGTAATTAGAATCTGAGACCGTCAGGACACAATGTAAAATCAACACGAGGAAAATGAAGACTAAAGAGGCCACAGCATTTTTATTGCCGTTGCATTTGTGAGGCTTCAGAGGAGAGTTCATCATGTTTTGTGTTTGGCTGCTCAAAGACCCAAATCTGAGACCCCCGTGGAGCTCTTAGTCTTTCGCTGAAGGTGTTAAGATGCATGTCAGACTGCCTCCCTCCCTCTGCAGATCGCCGCCATGCACAGCCGTGTGGGTGAGATCGTGGAGGTGGCCGCCATGAGCGGCGTGAACATCGTCTGCTTTCAGGAGACCTGGAGTGAGTGCACGGCTAACATCCACGTCCCGCCGCGCAGACGAGATAACGCAGGGGGCTGCTGTTGGTTTGTGTGTTCCCAGCCATGCCCTTTGCCTTCTGCACCCGCGAGAAAGAGCCCTGGACGGAGTTTGCAGAGTGCGCCGAAGAGGGAAGCACCACGCGATTCTGCCAGGAGGTGAGACTGCGGCTCCGCCGGCACGCAGCCGGCCGGAGCCTGACCAGCGTCTGCTCTGCCTCCAGCTGGCCAAAAAGTACAACATGGTGGTGGTTTCTCCCATCCTGGAGAGGGAGGAGCTGCACAGCACTCTGTGGAACACGGCGGTGGTGATCTCCAACTCGGGAAACGTGCTGGGAAAAAGCAGGAAGAACCACATTCCCAGAGTGGGAGACTTTAACGAGGTGAGAAGGTCAACCAGAATTGTCCTCTGTTTAAGTCAATGTCTCATTATTAAGCACCAAATAAAATCTAATGTAATACATTTTATTAATTAAAAAATTAATTCGGAGCCAATTAAAAAAAGACCATTCCTAGTTTGGGTAACAAACAGTTTGCAGCTAAATTCTGAAACAATCCTCTGTGGGAAGAAAAAAAGGGAGGAGAGGTGCATCATGGGACCCCCCCCAGCAGTCTTAGACTGTGTCATGAATTATTTTTTTTGTTTGTTTCCAGTTTGAGTTTTCTTCATGGTTTTGTGTGTCTGGTTTTTCCTGTTGTGTGTAGTTTACTTCCTGTCCCTTGGTTCTGTTCTGGGTCCTACAGAGTCCCCCCCCTTCTTCTGTGTCTCCTCCCCAGTCTCCTGGGGAGTTGTCCTCACTCTGTCCGATTCTCATCTGATGTCTCCTTTTTTTCTGACTTCCAGTTGCCTGTCCTTCGGTTTTCTTGGCTCTGATTGAGTTCTGTTTGTGCCTTTTGGGTCCCTGTCACTGCTCAGTCCACCTATTACATGGAGGGGGACACGGGCCACACGGTGTTCCAGACCCAGTTTGGGAGGATTGCAGTGAACATCTGCTACGGCCGCCACCACCCCCTCAACTGGTTCATGTACAGCATGAATGGAGCCGAGATCGTCTTCAACCCGTCAGCCACCGTGGGGGCTCTGAGGTACGAGAACCCAGCCAGACCCCACCCTGGTCTGTGGGCTGGAGACCAGACCCCCAGCCAGACCCCTCTGGTCTGTGGGCTGGTGCTCTTTGCTCCTCCAGTCAAAGTCCTGATTGGCTGATTAGTTGATTTTGGTTTGGCCTCGGAGGATGCAGGAGGGAGCCCCACAGGTTTAATTGAATTCCAGAGAAAGTGGAGACCTTGACCTCTTCCTCTGACACATGTCAGATTTCAGTGGGAGGTCCACGCTAAGAGGCTGAGGAAGTTAGTTTTTTATGAGCTCTAAAAAAATAAGATCTATTCTGTAAGGGGGGCAGTGAGTGTATTTTTTTCCTTGGACTACTCCTGGTCTCGTGTTCTTTAAGCCTGTGATTGTGCAGAAGAGTGAGGTCTGCCTCTTGTCTGTAGCGAGCCCATGTGGCCGATCGAGGCCAGAAATGCCGCCATCGCTAACCACTGCTTCACCTGCGCTATCAACCGCGTGGGGACGGTGAGTCCCCCCCCCCCACCCCAACTCCCCAACACGCACCATAATTCCTACTTAAACCTTGCTTTTGTGCACAGGAACACTTCAAAAGCGAGTTCACTTCAGGCGACGGGAAAAAAGGTGGGAATTGGTAGCTCCTCGCTCTGAAGAACGAATGGAAATGCTGTAAAATCCTTTGAAACAGCCGCTTACCGAATCGCCTGCTGGCTTTTGCAGCTCACCACGACTTCGGGCATTTCTATGGGTCCAGCTATGTGGCCGCACCGGACGGCAGCCGCACGCCGGGGCTCTCCAGGACCCGGGACGGGCTGCTGGTGGTCGAAATGGATCTGAACCTGAACAGACAAGTCAGTGACAAATGGAGCTTTAAGGTAAAAACCGTAGAGGGTAACAGGTATCACCAGAGCCAGCAACGTCAGGGGCTGTTTATTCTAAAAGAAGGCGCTCTTTTTTTTGTTGTAACATTCGTTCCTCTTTGTGCAGATGACTGGGCGGTATGCAGAATACGCAGAGAAGCTCACCGAGGCCGTCAGACATGACTTCAAACCCAAAGTAGTGAAGGAGTAGAGCGTCTTCCTCACATCTTCTGCAAATAAAGCCTCAGTGTTCATACCATCCTTTGAGATTTGCTGTCCCAACACATCGATCCAGAGCCCCAGTGATGGTTGATCTAATGGCTTTTGGAGCTGCGCTCACAGCTGATAAATAAAACGCGCAAAGCTGTGACTAAAAGCACAAATTCAGTGTTGAGCAACAGTTGCCCCAGATTTCTGCAGGTTTTTCATGTTAAGTCCCTGACCCACGAATTCAGAAAATTCTCACGAATGTGTTTGAAAAATTATTTACATAAATGGGAAAAAAATATATCAAATGTGTGATTCATAGTTTTACTCTAAACTAAAAAAAAGAAAAAGATTCTACTAAGTTTTTCTTTGATAAGGTTATGCAGAAGCTCCAGTCCACAGAAAACCAAAAAAAAAAAACAAATTAAAATTGGATCTTTGGGCTGTTTGTTACCAAAAAATAGCATGAATCCCAAAGAGCTGTTATCTGAAAATAAACTTACTAAATATATTAAAGTAAATAGATTTAAAAACCCGAATTCTGATGGAAAATATTGTAACTTTGCAAAAATAGGGCAAAGATTTGGCTCCTGAGCAGACAACAATTTTAAAGTGGTTTAAAGCAATAGTTCTGCAGGATTTCTGAAGTGTTTTCCTCTGAGATTTGCTGCTTTTTCACTCAGTTTCTGTCATTACTGAACCTGATCCAAGTTTAAATCAAAATATGAATAATTCATGCAGAAAAAGGCTGCTATCTGAAAACTTGGCATATCTCAGCATTTAAGGAAACTGAACAAGTGGACAAAAGTAGAAGAGTTGGGCCTAAAAAACTATCTCCAGCAGATAAAGAGGATCTGAAAGTGATGTCCTTAAGAAAGAGCAACACATCCAGCGAAGACCTGAACCAGGAGCTGAGAGATGCATCTGGACCTTCAGCTGGTCATCTCCTGTTGGACTAAGCCTCATCAGAAATGCTCTCCATGGAAGGAGGGCTGTGAAGAAGCCATTCTGAAGGAAGGGGAACAGGGAGGAAAAGCTGAGCTCTGCCAAAGGACTCAAGAAGTGGACTGAAAATCAGTGGCAGCAGCTCTGATGGAGGGATGAATCCTCCCCAGGAGAAAGGAGCTCAAAGCAGAGTCACTGAGGTGATAGAATATTTACAGACTCAGGTTTTAACTTAAAGACCATCAAGCTGCACCTGCTAATAAAGAAACCAGGAATGGCTTAAATTATAAACACAGTCCCTTTAATAATTACATTTAATTAAATGACCTGTAACGTCCTTTTTCCAGATACTTTTTTTTATAGTAAATTAGCAACATAATTGTGACAAAAAAAGTAAAAAATAAAAAACTATCCAACTTCTGATATCTGTGACACAAACATGTGAAACCTGAGTTTTAATACAAGCATTCAACCTCTTTTTGGACCATTTCTTGAGACGGTGAGATCAAAAAAACATTTTTAAAAAACAGTAAATATTTTAGCAGAAACTTTAATCTTAAAATAAACGTCTATGAGAAACTTTTGTGTGAGATGCAGACATTTAAACGGTGATTTAATAAATGCAGCTCTGTCTTTAATAAAAAAATAAAGGTTTGCAGTTTAAAACGTGCCTTTTTCTTTTCCACCGGAGAGCACAGTCAGTCAGAGGGCGGCGGCCGCATGATGAGAGAAATGTAGTGCAAAAACAGACACGGTAGCAGGATTAAAAACAAACTAGTGTTCTGAGAGCCGTTGGCCAGTGCGCCCGGGCCGGAGGGGGGCGGGCGGGCTGGGGGGGGGTCAGCAGCTTCACACCAACAACGACACCCGACGCACAACACGGTGAGCGACGCCAGCCCTGTGTCACCGGCACGTTAGTGTTTCTCTCCATCTCATCCGCGAGTCACTGAAACTCCAACAGAGGAAAATCCCCCCCCGACCGAATAGAAATATAGTCCTTCTCATGGTTAGAAAGCTTCCTGGTGGGGGGTGGGGGGCGTCTCCCGGAGAGAGGGGGTGTGGGGGGGTGGCAGTGATCCAGAGTCCTGATTCATCGGCTCTCCTTGAAGATGAAGAGGATGTCCTCGTCTGTGCCGTAGCTCCGCCGGGCCTCCTCGAAGTTACCGATGCTGGTGCAGCACACGCCTGGAAAACACACACACACATTTCCAGAAATGACTCAATGTCCCAAAGTTGCTGCTCTGAGTGCTTTCTGTCATAATAATAACAACCACACGGCTGCTCTTTTTCTCTATTATGTTTACTTTGGTTTTATCTTTTTTTTTGTTCTTATTTTTTTTGCCTTTTATGATCACCCTTTGTTCTTTAAATTGAATAAACCAATTTTTATTTTTTTTATTTAGGTGTATTTTGTATAACTGAATTGAATTCCTCTTTACAGATTCACTTGCAAGATGAATGCAAAGACAAGCTAATGTCTTAAAAGGAGGAAAAAGTCAGTCCATCTGCATTCCTGCAGCAGATTTTGCCTAAAAGGGCAAAAATAACATTTAAAATAACAAAATAACACAATAAAGTTGTAAGTATAAGCAAAAAACTAACAGAAAAGGTTAAAAATCAATGAAAAAAACACAAAAATGAATGTTCATGTGAGCTGTCTGCTTTTTAAGTCTCTGACAGGGGGGGCAGCCTTTCACCAACAACAGACGCCATGTTTTGTAAACACAGGTTACAGAAAAACACTCTCTGTCCTCCACAGTCGGAAACCTGAGTGAGTTTTATTCCTGTAGAAAGACGTGTTTGACAGCCAATTCACCAGAAGTAACACGATAAGGAACTTTCAGGCTGTTTTATGCAGAAAAATTAGGATTTCACTCAACACTTGTGTTTGGTGGTAATTCTGTTATATTAGACGGGGCACTTTAATTAGAGGCTTTAGAATAATTCATTTCTTTTAATATCAATCTGCTTCGACCAACTGGAAGCTCAATGTTGAAAACCCTCAATGCACCCCTGGTTCTTATTCAAAGCTGAAAAATGAACTTTAACCCTATTAATTTTCCCATTATTTAGCTAAATAAGTAATGCATCATTTTCATCGTCATGGAGACACTTAACTGTCCATTTTTAAACCCCATGACTGAGAAATGGGGTTAAAAGCAGCTCAAAAGAGCCAGAATTCTGCTTCATCAGTTCAGCTTTAACTCAAATGTCCTAAACCTTTGTTTTTTCCAAAATGTTGTTGCAACATCCTGCAATCAGTGCAGGAGTTCACACAAATTCAGCCTGTGAGGAACACAAGCTGCAGGACGAAAGGTTAAAAGAGGTCAAAACCTGCCTTTTTAATGTCCAAACCACTTCTAATGCCTACGGTGTTTATTTTCATGGTAGCATCGGGGCAGTGGGGGGGGGGGCTGCACAGCTGGAGGACGTCCCCCAAACAGCCCAGCTGCTGCTTATTTGTCTGAACAGACCTCATTTAAAACCTCGTGCTTTTTCTGCAGTCCCTGTTTTATGGTTCACTATACCCCTTCTCTTACATAACCGAGTGTAAACAGAACCTTTGGCTGATGCTCCCCCCCCCCCCCCCCCCACGTGGGCTGCTTTAAATGAAAAACGAAGTCCCACTCACGGTCGGAATACGCGGGATTGTTGTAGAAGATGGAGCCGGTGGTCCTGTTGAAGCCGCACACCACCACAAAATGGCCCTGGTACTCCGGCTTCCTGCAGAAGCACTTCTGGCCCACGGGCAGGAAGCAGCAGTACTTGACGGGCGAGGAGCAGAGCTCGCAGGTGAGGACGACGGCGTTGACCAGGACTATGGCGACGTGGCCCTGCTCCAGGTGGCTCTGGATCTCCTGAACGGTCACCGAGCTGCGGAGGGAGGGGGGGGGGGAGACGGACGCTCTGCTGATAACGGGCACGGGGGAAAACAAAGCTGGAGAGCCGACGACAACGAGCAGAACACTCACCATTTGCGCACCGCCACGCCTTTGCTCTCTGCGTTTAGGAAGAGCTTGTTGACTCTGTCTTCCTCTGTGTCAAAATGCTTCTTATAAAAGGACTGCAAAACGCGGCAAAACACCACGGGTTACATCACACACAGGCGCTAAGGCCGTCCACATCTTATGTGAGGGGACCCGTGCCGGCTCTGACCGATGCAAATACCTGATTTTTAAAGCCTTTGTCCACTCCCAGGGTCTGCGTGCAGAAGCGGTGTTCCACTCCGAGGTGGCACATGAGGTAGGCCAGGTCAATGGTCCACACACTCTCTGTCAGCTTCAGCTCCCAGCACGCCCTCTGAAACTCCTCATCACTCACCGGGTGGACGTACCTGAGGGTTGAGACAGCCTTTCACCACCCCGATAGGGTCTGGACATCCCCTTTGGTGCCCTACCGGGTGACCAAAGCGTCTAAGGACGTGCGTCCACACGCATGATGTCGACCAAGTTGTTAAGTAATTTTACAAAGCGTGAAAAATTGGGAGTGGGAGCTTACTTTAGGACCATCCTGGAGCAGGCTAAGCCACAGTCCCAGTGGTACAGCTGCCGAATGACAGGCACATTCAGCAGAACGGCATCTTCTGAAACAAAACAACAACAAAAAAAACAAGAGACATTTTTCATGTTTATAACTTCTCTCACAAACACAGCGTCCAGGGACTTAGACGCCATCAAAAGCCATCCATCTGCGCCATCAGCCCGGTTACGTACCTGTCATTCTGCTGTATTCTGTCTCTGACAAGCGGCTGGCTACCTCGGGGCGAGCTGGACAGACGTGTTTACCTCTCTGAAGGCGGGGTTGGGTTTCCTCATCGATGCTAAAGAGTTAGAAGAAACGGCACAGCCCAGCTGTTAGCTTAGCTTCCAGGCTAACAGGACCCATTCTCCACAGGGCGGCTGATCGCACAGCGGGGTCAGCTCACATAAACATTGGACTACCGACCGATGAACCAAAACAACGACAAAAACGGCCTGGGAAACTAAATGTCGGCCCGGTTTCGTGCCGGTTCCGTCCGTCTGCCGCACTCCTCAGCTGTTCGCCTGCACACAACGGGGCTTCGTTGTGTTCGGTTACGGGGTCGGTAAAAGTCATGCTGCCCCCTAGAGGCGAGGAGGAGACCTGCACGCTCACCACTGAGGACGAGCTCTGCTCAAATCTGGACAGGATCCTGCTAAATAAGATGTGGATTCATTAAAACACTCTTTAGGTTTTTTTATTTTTTATTTATTATGTAAATGCAAAATAGGGCAGTTTTGCTACTGTTTTTGCAGTCTGGTCACCTTAAACTATGGTCTGTGTAAAAAATAAAATGGCCAGACTGCTAAAATCTGTACATATTTACATCTAAGAGGCTGTACAATCATTAAAACATTTTTTGGAATTTGTGAATGCTTTCGCTGATTTGTGAAAATGCACAAAAATGGGCTTTTTTATTGCTTTAGACCATTAACTCTTTTAGAATTTTCTGATAAACTACTGCAACTACTGTAAACTACTGTAATTATCATAAAGAGGCTTTGGTTCATGAATACTTTGTATGTTAGTTGAGAGCTTTTCGTGATTTGAGAAAATATAGAAAAGGGATGTTTACCTGCTTTTTTTGCATTCAGAACACCTCAAACTTCTACCTGTTTGCAAACCACGATATTCCACAATTTTTATTCAGAGGCTGTAGATTCATTAATTTACTGTCTGGGATTTGTTAAATGTTTTTAGGATTTGTTAATAGCACAAAATGGGCAGGTTGACTGCTTATTTTGCATGCCAATCACGCATGACAGCCACGGTTCAAATGCAAAACTCACTGTCCATTTGAATAATTCACATTTTTACAGACTGAATAAAGTTTCCCAACTTACTCTGTACAGCCCTAAGAACAATGATGTTCAGATTTGAACAGTCTAACTACAGTGGAAACATTTCATCATCGATTTGACACATTTTCCAAAACATTTTTTTCACACTAACAAGTTGTGAAAGGCTTTATTAAACTATTATTTTGTTTTTGTTACATTCTTAGAGAAAGCCCACATTCTTTTGCTGGAAAGCTGTCTCGTGTTGACAATGGGGTTCAGTGGGGTTCAGTGGGTTCAGTGGGTCCCATAGGTGGTGCTCATTGATTTCTGCATTGAAAGAAAATAAGACACAAAATAAAAACAAAAATGAGAATGTTAGACCGAAATAGAGAGGAAATACCAAAATAAAGGGCTCAAATATGTTGTTAAAGCGACTGGGAATACCTTACCGATTCGGTTTCAGCCTCCTCAATCAGGTAGGACACTTTCTGTCGGCTGTACAGATCTTTCTTCTTCATGCATGTTAACATGAACCAGTCAGCAACCACGGGTACCTGAGGGGGAGGGTGGATAAAGCTTAAAGTCTTTGTATTTACTTTTTTTTGGGGGGGGTGGGACTGAAAATGTCGACGTACCAAACTCAGGAAGGACAAAGCTGCACCCAAGTTCACGATGGTTGGTACAACTGCAAACTTCCCCGCCTGCCAGAACCAGAAAACTGCAAAGTCAGCTCAAACCTTTTACGAGTGAAGTGATCATACTCTCATGATCTTTTCAGGCCTCACGGTTCCGAAGACGATGACGTTGAAGCGGATCCCGTAGGCCTTCATTAGTGTTCTTTCCTCTTGTCCATCTGGGGTCTTGTAGTACTTTGCATATCTAAAGAGAGCAGTTTCATCAGCGTTTGTCTCTGTAGTTCTCAGGATTTGGATTCAGGAGTTGTCTCACCTGAAGTTGTAACCCGGAGCCACGTTGTTGGTGGAGTTCTTGTTGTCCAGTCGGCGGAAGCTGTACTTTGGGAAGCACATCCTTGCCCAAAGGTCCAGGTCACAGCTCCAGTCAATGAGGATCCCAATAATGCCACCCTTTGGGACACAAAGCGCATCAGTCTCGGATCTGTTCTCCGCCTCCATCTTTGCAGCAGAGCGCCTGCCTCTGCCCACCTTAATGGCCATGTCTTGAAAGTCCTCCCCAGCCTCGGAGACGATGTGTTTGAGGCGAAATATGGGGCAGTCGGGGTCCGTCGCATGGCTGAATTCACACCTCCTCAAGTAGGAAGAGTTGATATGGGGCAGTATGTTTGCTCTGTGGGAGGTGGGGGGTTTAAAGGCAAGCATTTATCAATCAAACCGGGCATGTCTGCGCTTGTTAATCGCATGCGCCCGGATGTCGTGCGCTCACCTGTGAAAGTCGAACTTTGGGTACGTGATGCTGTTTTTTATCAACACCGTAAAGTTTTCTGCCGCCGCCAGCAGCGGTCGTCTACGAATAGAAGAACAAAAGCAGAAACCCAGTCACGCCCTACCTCGACTGGATGGCTCCGAAACAAACCCTGTGATGATGGACGGGGTCTCACGCGGGCAGCTTGTAGTCTACTTCCAGCGGGCACCAGGACAGCACTTCACAGGTCTTGACCGTGGCGGTATAGTTCTCACACAGCCCCGTTCGTATACCTGAGGGGATTGTTTTAATCATGTTTTTGGGGCCGTTGGCATCTACAGCTACAGCGCCGAGAGGAGCGCCTACCGTTTCCCCGGGGGTCGTTGAGTCCCTCCACGCAGTCGCAGTCATCCTTACAGGTGGTGGACGGGTTGGGGAGCTGCAAGACGAGGGGGCACCAGAGGTCATTTGTTAACTACTACAGGCGAGGTTTATTTGCCAACCTAGTATCCCAAATCAGGTTGGAAAATGACCAGATCAAATAACTAAAACCATGAGGAAAACTCAGACTAGACACAAACCAAAGACCCTATTCATGACCCGGTGTCTTTGACTGCCTTCATTCTCCAAAATCAGGAACATCCAGTCTGAGTGCTGCAGAAAAACTGTGTTTGTGACATAATTGTTGCTGTAAATCTTCATTATGGGGCTTTTATCTAGAATTTAAAAAGCTCTGAATGAGCAGCTCCATCACAGCTGGGTGTTTCCCAGCAGAGCTCTTTGCTTTCAAACTGCAGCTCTACTTCTGGTTCCTGAGTTTTTAAAGCAGAATGGGAGGCAGAGCCTTCAGCTCTCAGGTTCCTGTCGGTGGAACCAGCCTGGATTCAGGAACCAGAGCCCCCTCTACTTTTAAGATCAGGCTGCAGACTTTACTTTTTGATAAAGCTGATAGTTACAGATGCTCAGGGACCCTGAATCATTCCATAGTTCTGCTGGGAAGGTAGAGAGCAAAAAACTGCCACATGTTCAGGTGCCATTTAACTTTATCTGCAACAAAAATGTACAGACTTTGCAATCAAGCACTATAAAAAGTGAGACACTTCTGTGACTGTCCCTTTGCTTTTCTCCAAGTAATTTGTGTAGAAATATGAAAATCCAGCTAACTTCCACGACCAGGGGTCAGTTGTCCAGTTTGGAAATTGCATCTTCTGGCAGTCTGAAAGCCGCTCTGGCCTTTTTAAATGACTATTTGCCTCATATTTCATATGAATTGACCTAAAAAAGACAAACTTAGCCCTGAAACATCTCAGACCCTTAAACATCATGCTCTAATCCTACCAGGACACCCACCTCAGGACATCGCGACTGCGTTTGAGCCGGGGTCATCACCAAATTGGTCAGCACGAAGAACGTATCGTCCCCCTGTTAGACGGAGCCGAGAGCACAGAGTTACTGAAACCCCAAAGCACACCCTGTGGCCCAGTCCGACACGAACGATGGGCCGGAGAATTAATGAGGGGGTGAAGCTGGAGTGCCTGAGCGGGGATGACGAAGTCGGCCACGTCCCAGAAACGAGGATCCATGTCAGAGGTGTTGGTGAAGGCAAAGCCCTTCACTTTGGTTGTGACGGTGCTGATGACCGAGTCCGTCTCCTGGTAGGCCTTCTGCACCACGCACACGTACCTGCGGAAGGTTTCCAGCTGCATCACGAAGCCCTGAGCACCTCGTAAGATGGGATTCCGAGGCCCGTGTGGGCAACTCACCCGACCACGTAGAGGACCACCAGGAGCTGGGTGAACCTGAAGACGAATCCCACCCTGATGCTGGGGATGACCAGCGTCTTTGGGGTCTCGTAATCGAACACATAGTGCAGGAAGCTCCGAAAGCCGGCTGCAGTCTTGCTCATCGCTGCACCACGAAGGACAGAGCCGTAATGACGGGCCGACGCCGCCGCCCGCATTCAAATCTTTGTATTCAAATCGCGCTCGCTTTCGACACAAACCAATTTAATGTAGCGTTTCAGGTTTGTTTAAACAAAACCCCCGCCGAGAGGACTTGCTAAATTATCCTGAGGCCATCCTGCCCATGGAAAAGTAGCTTCTTTTGGCGTGAAAAGTGCTCACAACCTGCACATTTGAGCATATTCATTAAGAGGACTCAACTGTCTAGAGTCTAGACAGTTCTAAAATACCAAGGTGAATATTTCTGGTCAAAGAGAAGGTTTGCGCAAGAAAAGCTTTGATCTACTTTGGTTTTCAATTAATTTAACAGAAAGGAAAACAGCCCTTTCATGCACATTACACCCAGATGTCTGCATTTAGAAGAGTTACTGACAGTGTACCATCATCTAAATGATCAAATATCTTCAAAAAAATGTAAGAAAATAAGTCTGGCTTTCAAATGGCTTTCAATTTGGATTTTCCAAATCAAGTACCTTAAGTGACAATTGTATCTTATTGAAAACTGAAAAACAAATTGTATCATGGTCATTTTCTGGCCCATTGAGGCAGCTTTTTTCATCCTATTGTCCTTCTGTAGTATGCTAAGCATAGGCAAAGCTTATAACTTCTTCCACTATCAGGACAAACTGTGGATGGTTATGACCCCCTGCAGCTTATCGCTTACTGCTGTGTGCTGGCATTGCACACGTGGAACTTATCTAATATTTGTGAGCCTGTAAAACGAGTGCAGCCCTATTGTGGCCTTGCTCATGTTCTAATCTGAGGCTGAAGACCAGTGACCTGTAAGGGCGAAGCTCTCGGTGTAACATGCAAACTGAGCTCTGGGGGCCAGAAGGTGGACACACAGCAACTTTTGTTGGGACAAGTCCACCCACATTTACATGCCTCCTTCAGATAGGCACGCAGCACAATGCCATTAGAGGGGCAGTAAAAACAGGCAGCTATAGAGGCGCAGGTCGGTATTATGATGTCTTTGTCTGACGCACACTTTGGATCAAAATCAGAGAGCAGCCTGCCTGCTGATAAAAGTAAAGGTAGTCCTATTTCAAATTATCCAGAAGCGAGTACAAAAAGCAGGATTCGAACCATATTTATGAGTTTGCATTGACACCTTTATTAATGTTTCAACCTCATTACCTAGAAGCCTTTTTAGTTTTCAGACTCTGGAAGATACTGAGGGGCTGACCAGGTTGTTCAGGGTCAAAGGTCAAATAGTGATTTCATTGGACTGTGCGCAGTACCCTGAAAAGGTTTGTGCATTAATGCAGAGCTTTACAGCAAACCCACACAGAGCAGGGCCTGCTTTTCTACTTCATCAGAACGACTCCCCCCCAGCTCAGGCTGAGGGGGAGCAGGGAGGCAGTCACAGCTTGGAGCCCGTGAGCAAAACTCACCTTTCAGACAGTCAAACGATCCACAGGTGAGAGAGATTCTCATTGGTCAGACTACACCCCCCATCCCCCCTCGATTATAAGTTGCTCCCCCCTGTGCCTAAAGAAACCTTTAAGATGAGAGGAGAAACACCTTAAAGAGCCAAGAAGAAGAAGTCAAGCTGACTTTAAACAGACTCTAAAGAGCCCCATCTTTTCTTCACAAACTCATTCGCCTTTCCTCGATATTGTGCTGACAGACGGGAGCCAAAGTGCGTTCAGAGGTCGGTAAAAAGTGGAAGAGGAAGCGTCATGGTTTGGAGAAGCCTCTTCGATCAGGTGGCGACTTTCATGCAGGACAACACTGATTTAAACCCAACAAATAAAACAAAGTCACAACAAAAATTACCCAAAATGTGGAGGAAAAAGGAACTGAAAATGCCACCAGAGCGACTCAATGAGCTACAGATGAGAGGCTGTAATGGTTAGAGCTACATCAGTTAAGAAGGAGACATTTTTTTATTTAATTTGACACAGATTTCCATGAACACAGGACAAATACAAAGTCACTTTGGTCCAGTTGTACTCTGATATAAAGTCTATATAAAACAGCCACTCGGGTCACACAGATACTTTGGCATCCCATTAGTCCCAATAACTTTAAAACCCTCACGCCTTCAAGTTCATTATGCTTTTAGAGTCCATGCTGCCACAGCTACACGGGCATAAAAGAAAGGCTACAGCAGTTGTATACACAATATACAAAATGGATATTTTCCTTTTTGTGGCGTTACTCGATCCTTTAATAGTAAACACACAGACAGGATGGTTCATTATTAAACTAATGCTGTTTGATCACTATGTTTAGAGTTTCAGTGTTGGATTTTTCAAGTATGACATGAAGGCATCTACACTGTGATTGACTAAAAATCAGACTGGAGTCCACAGTAATGAGGCTACAATGAAGTGTCTGGAAAACGTTCAGGACGGCCGTGTTCCTGCAGGGGTAAGCTCGCAAGGTCCCATGGGGTTCAGTATCCGGCCGAAGTCGAAGTCGACGCCCCCCTCGTGCAGGCTGCGCTCGTTGGCGTTGTCGAAGCTGTTCTTGCCGTGGATCTGCTTGAGGTGCTTGCGCAGCACAGGCTTGTGGGCGAACACCATGTCGCAGTAGTTGCAGCGGTGCGGCTTGTCCCCGCTGTGCAGGTTCAGGTGGTCCAGCAGCGAGCACTTCTGCGTGAACGTCTTCCCGCAGATTTTGCACTGGAAGGGCTTGATGCCGGCGTGCACACGCATGTGCCGGTGCAGGTTGCCCTTCTGCGTGAAGGTCTTGCCGCACAGCAGGCACATGAACAGCTTGTGCATCTTCAGGTGGTTGGCGTAGTTCTCCAGCTGCCGGAAGACGCGGGCGCACTTGGGGCACTGGTGGTACCACTGCAGGGGCTTGTCGTAGCTGCGCTGGTGCCCGCCGTGCTTCTCCGCGGGCGGGGACGGCGGCGGCGGGCTGAGCGGGTACCCGGCGGCGCCCGCTGGGGCCGCCATCTCGCTGCCCCGGCTGTCCACGGTGGAGTTGATGAGCGAGTGCTGCGGCTCAGGGGAGTGCAGCGCCGCCGGGGGGCTGGCCGAGAAGTGGCCGCTGACGGAGTTCTCCGCCACGTCCGACACCGACTCCACTTTCACGATGGTGATGTCGTTATCCATCGCGCACATCTTCGGGCGCCGGCTCACAATCTGGACAGGACTCATGGGCTCCATGATCACGTCGTCGTCCTCGCTGTCATCGTTGGTGTCTCCTCCGACCTGGCCCACCATAACGTCCTCGTCATCCTCGTCGTCCTCCTCCTGAGGGACAGTCCGAGCCTGGGAGGGCTCAGTCTCCCTCTGGGCCTGGGAGGATAAGGCCTCCACCCTCTTTTCCCTCCTGGCGTCCTCGCCCGCCTCCAGCTGGCGTGGCGCCTGAGGTTTGATGAACTTGCTCAGGGCCTGGGTGCACTGCTCCACGATGTGCCCCATCTGCAGGAAGCTGGCCACCGTCAAGTAGTGCACCAGCTCCAGCTCGGGGAACTCCAGCTGGCCCGTGTAGCAGGACAGCAACAGCTGCCGGCCCACCTCCGCCTCCTGGATCATGGAGATCTGGACCTCTTTGGAGTCTTGCTGAAGGATGAACTGGTCCCTCAGGAAAGACGAGCCGGCGGCAAACACCACTTTGTGGCCGGGAACCTCCAGCTGGTTGATGCGCACCGTGACGTCGCAGAAGCGCCGCTGGTGCCGAAGGAGGTTCATCTTCTGCAGCATGGAGTCCCCGAATGTGGTGAAGCGGAACTGCAGGATCACCTGGTTCTGAGCCATCGTGCACCACAGGACACCAGCCGCACTGCGCCTGTGAGGACCAACATCGGGGATAATAAGACTGCTTTGCTTCCCTCAATCTTTATCAACCAACTTCAATAATTAATTCATCCAAACCATCAACCTGCCTCTTGGACTCCATCCCGTCGAGGCTGCTTAAAGAAGTCTTACCCTTAGTCAGCATCTCTCTACTAGATGTGATCAATCTGTCTTTATCAACAGGCTATGTGCCACAGTACTTTAAGGTAGCTGTCATTAAACCTCTTTTGAAAAAGCCCAACCTGGACCCAGATGTTTTAGCCAACTATAGACCTATATCTAACCTTCCAGTTATCTCTAAGGTCCTGGAGAAGGTAGTCGCCAAACAGCTGTGTGACTTTCTACATAGCAAGAGCTTGTTTGAGAATTTTCAGTCAGGATTTAGAGCTCATGGTAGCACAGAGAGCACTGGGGAAAATTACTAATGACCTACAAACTGCATCAGACAAAGGACTTGTCTCTGTAGTGGTTTTATTAGATCTGCAGACGCCGTCTCTACATTTAGGCTTAAGACTTTCCTTTTCGATAGAGCTTATAGTTATGCTGCTGTAGGCCTAGACTGCCGGGGGATTTCCCATGATGCACTGTACTCCCCTCTCCTCTTTTCCCTCTCCCTCTCAGTGCAACCTCATCCCATTAAAGCATGTTACTAACTGGACTTCTTTTCTTTCCTGTAGTCATGTGCTTCCTCGTCCCTCTCCTCTGTCCTCCTATCACTTCCTGCAGATGTTCCTGGCTCTGGAGCTGTGGAGTCTGGATTTATTGTGGGGAGTCTCTTGCTGCCCCAGTGTTCCTATTCCACAACCTCTGCTACAATTACAACTACTGTTCCTAGTCATATTGCTAATATTACTGTTATCATTATCATTGACATTACTATCAATATCTGTACCATTTCCCATCCAATCTATAGTAACACTACCTTAACCTTTACCTGTCTGTACCTCTATGTGTTACTGTGTAAGCTTCCTCCCCCTGCTCTTTCTGTCCCTCTCTCATTTGCCCTCTCTTTCTCTCACTCCCAACCGGTTGATTCGGATGGCCGCCCACCCTAAGCCATGGTTCTGCTCGAGGTTTCTGCCTCTTAAAAGGAAGTTTTTCCTTGTACGTGTCGGCTAGTGCTTGCTTTTGGTGGGAATTGTTGGGCTTCTGTAAATAACTTCAGAGTAGGGTCTGACCTGCTTTGTTTGGAAAGCGCTGTGAGAAAACTGTTGTTGTTATTTGGTGCCATATGAATAAAATTTAATTGAATTTAATTTAATTTCCCAACCCTGGTCCTCAGTTGGCTCTGCCCTGCTTTTTTTCCAGGTTTCCCCACACCTGATTCAAATGAATGTGTGCTCATCAGCTTTCTGCAGAGCTTGAAGACCTGAACAGCTGTCCTATTTATTTGAATCGGTTGTGCAGAGCAGGAACCCTGGAAAACACACAGGGGAGTGTTTTCCTGTAGGACAGGGGAAACACTGCCGTTGGCAGTTTCCCTAGGGAAACCGGCCAATTCTAACTAAGACTACGTCAAAAGCAACTTAGCACATCATTCAGTTTTATTTCCAACAATATTCTCGAAAAATCCATCTCCTGGGTTTAATACGGCGACAGGCTAATACATTTATTCTTTAATTTTCTGCTTTAATGAAATGTTTTTAGCATAAATGTTCCAGTGGCTTTGTCGGCGAGGACCAGAAAAATAGCCGAACAGCCAAAAGCCTTTTCACATTAAATGGTAAAATGGTTTAAAATGTTTCCATTGTGTCGAGTTTGTGGCCTGGCTGTGGTTTCCAGGTTGCCAACACGCTGTCGGTTGTTTTTAGCCGACGCTGGCTGATGTTTTTTGCCGTCCAAGTTGCCCGTAGAGCCGCTGCAGCTGTTAGCTTAGCATGCTAATGTAATCCTGGCGTTCGCTAATTCTCCAACAAAAACTAGCATCTGTCACCCTAATGCCGGGTTACACTCTCTCCAAAACCCAACCTGTTATAAAGCAGCCGATTCTAACATTAGATATATATGCTAAAAAAACAAAACGCGAATCGGACCCAGTTCTCGCGTCGGCCTACGCCTTCACCGTTAAGCTAACGGCGCCGGTCACCGGACAATGCGCACAGCTGGGGCTCATTAAAGACATCCCGTGACATGTTTTTAAGTCAATCAGCGACGTTTTTCAGGCGTTTCATACCTGTGAACTCCTTTAACACACCCGAGACAGATGGGCTGTTGTCGGTGGGACTCTGTCTCTCTGTGGGATACGAAGGAGCCGCTCCGGATGGAAAATAATTAAAGGCCCAGGGCATGTCTACCTATTTTCTCCTGTTTTCTCAACGAATTGAAACTAAAAATCGATACATTTGGAGGAAAAGCCCCAAAGTTTTTGCTCTTACAACCCACGAGGTGTCAGGGGTAATTGTGAAAAACCACAGAGTAACTTGTTTTTGAGAAAGTTGTCAAATTGCTCATAAACAACAATCACATAGTATTTGCAAATGTATTTTTAAAGTAGTTTAATGGCACCAAATGGTTGTTGGTTTGTGTCTATTACTGTTAAGGCTAATTGAACTGAACTATATTCTGTCAACATAAGGAGTGCATGAATTAAAATGGCTGAAAGTCACAATATGTGACAAATTTCCCTGAAATCACACATAAAACATGTATTGAAACAAACTTTTTGAAAGTCTTTTCTGACACAAAGTATGTCATAATCCAAAAATAACACTTGCAGGAACACTTGCAAAACATCATTAGCTCAGTTTTGATCATTTAAAAAAGAGCTATGAGAAGTACACAATGTCAGAACCTGTGAGCTCACTTTTTTTTTTTTTTGCAAGTCTTATTTTCTCCTTTTTTCTGAAGAAATGTGTTATAAGGAGTACTTTCAACCCACAGATGCCCGGTTCTCTGAAAACCAGAAGATTTTTTTTGTGTGATCTGAAATGTTGGAATAGTTTAAAGGACTAATTAAAGGAAAGTCAAAACATTAACGACGTTGTATTAGATTACAGGTTGAAATCAACTTTTAGATAAAGATACCAAATAACAAAACAACAAAAAAGACTAAAGGAGCCAAGAGAAGGTCAGTATCTCAAAATTTTGCACTTTAACACAAAATCTTGTAAACCTCACAAAGTGCTATGGACGCTTATAATGTAGGCCAAAATTCCACAAAGTCCAAAAAGAGATAATTGTCTTTCGAGCAAAGAAAAGAGTTTCAAAATCTGAGGTCAGCTTGAGTGTGTACTGTAAAAAAAAAAAAAGTCAGCCTGCTTTAACCTGAGTAAAAACACCTATAATGACATAAGTTTATCTTTGATTCAAAGATGAATTTGAGAGGCAGCTGATTCAAAACGAGGTTGCTTGAGTCTTTACGAAGGGCAGCCCTGAGCTCTCTGCTTGGGCTTTCCTTCCTTAAAGAGCTGATTTTGAAACACTGCTGCTGGTAAATGAACCTTGAAAAGGCAAATCAGGGAGTCGGAACTAAACATGAAAAACTGCTCCCCGTTTAAATGTACCATCTGTGTGTGTTCTACCTTTAAAACCGCCCTCATTTTTATTTATACACCGATTGTTCTGGATCTGTGAGGTTCAACAACAACTTTTTCTGCACTGTACCTCTTTCTGTTAATTCTTAACAGTAAATGTAGTTATTTAATGTCACTTTTAGTCATTTTCTCATTGAATCTGCTGCAAATTGTTTTCCTGCTGTGGGCAGTTGGCGAATTGAACACCTGGGAGCTGCTGGATGAGAGATGTTGGTGTCGGTGCTCCTCATAAATCAAATTTAAACATAGGATTGAATGTTTTGTCCTAAAAAAGGCCTGAAATTGGGATCTGCATTATACCCAAGTATCGGAAATGTCACAGTAATCTTTCAGTATTATTCTGGTTAGAGTGTTAACAAACTGTACAGTTATGAAAGTAAAGCTGAATTTTTATTTCAATCCCTCAGGAGGTTTATGCATTCTTGACACACCTGTAAAAGAAGGCAAACATTAGTCATTCCATCACATTCATATTATTAAAAAAACATCGTATTTGTGACTAAATTAACCTTAGACCATTTCTCTGAGAGCTTGAATAGTGTAACTAGACTTATTTCATTAATTCTTGAAGACATCCATAAGGCTTTTAAAGTCTTACTACCAGGTTTAACATGTGCTGACGACTAAGAATCTGCTCTTGGATCGTTAGATGTTGTAATCTGAATTAGGACAGTGTATACCAGGCAAAACTGTATCCCCACAGAAGAACCAAGGCAGCCACTCCCACCATGGCAGCAGCAGACAGCGAGGAGACCCTCAGGACGTAAGAAGTAGCTGCAGAAAGGAGTTCTCTCTGAGTGAAACTCATCACTGGAGTGTATTTGGTAAATCTGCTTGTGTCTTTCGCCCCCTGCGGTCACTGCAGAGCATTGCAGAACGTCCACTGGGGCCCTTACCTGAGACTTTGGCCCACAGCACACAGAAGCTCTTCGAGGCCTTGGAGAGAAAACATTCAGATTTAAGGGGAGAACCTTTTCCAAATAGCAACGCAGAACAGTCTCAACCCACCGTTTTCCACTGATTTACAGCTCGTAAGATGATGTAATAGTTTCTGCCGCTCTCCAGTAGCGCATTATAGAAGCTCCCATAGAAGAGTCCATCCCCCACGGTGAAATTAAACTCTGTCCCAATATTTCGGACATTGATCTGGGCTGTGATGTACTCCGCTGTCTTTATTTTGCTTGATGAGGCCAAGCTTGCAGGGGAGGAGCAGTCAAACGTCATAATCCCCTCCACTGGAAGCACAAAGACTTGGTACACGCTGCCAATCAGAGAGATAGAAATCGGATTTCAGTTGCTTCTGCAGAACCGGGATCCACACTAAAATTGGTACAATATAATTTCTTGTTCATTAATCAATCACGGCATGAGGAATTTCTAACAAAATCACACCGAATGCACTGAATTTACAATAAAACTGAACCCATCAAAGCAGTCTCGGAGTTAAAGGGGCTTCAGAGACACCTACAGTCCTTTAACCTGTCAACCAATGATACAAATCACAGCAATATATTGTGGAACTGGACCCCATTTTGTACTTTTAGAGGCCACGAAAGGTGCACTAATGTTCCCAAGTAGTCAACTGATGACCTAAGGGAACACCAGCCGGACTTTTCAGGGAACCATCTCCAGAAAAGAGCCTTTGAGCTCCTTACAGGTGCTCTCTCCACACAAAGTCAGCTTTTGAACACTGTTTTCCTGCTTTTTGTTTAATTTTGCTAAAACATTTTTTGGCTTTTTATTCTTTAACCTTTTCAGGAACAGATCTTATTCAATTAAGACCCAAAACATAAAACCTTACAGTAAAAAAATGAGGGTTATTTTACATTGCATGTCTGCATCTCGCCTTTATTATCCTCACCTTATCGGGTCCAGCGTGTCGGGCGATCTGTGCAGCCGCAGAGTTGGAACTGGAGTTTCATGCTCTTCGTAGAAGACGTCTGGTGCCGCCGGTGCTGTGACACATAAAACACAGAGTCAGTTTACCTCCCAGAGAGTTGAAGTTAACTTGGCCCCACGCAAGCTCAGAGGAAATTCTACGCTTTTCAAAGTTAACTCTCCTCAGTTCAGTGTAAAAACGAACAATGAAATTAACCAAATATTTAACGCAGTTCAGAGGAATCTGATTACACTTTAGTAAGCTATTTTGACCCCAAAGTGGGGTTAAAATGACCCTGTGCTGTGTTTGATTGTCACCAAACCGCCGCGATATGAGCCCTCCTATGGAAACAAATACAAACACAGCCCCACAGTGACAGCATTTATAATAATTTCTCCCATTTCATCATGGAATTAAAACAATTAAAATTTCAATACAATGCACACCAGCAGTGGAATGAACAGATCTCTTCTGAAGATTTTGAGCTTCTGTACAGTCTACCAACCTGCACCAATGGGGGTCGGCTGTTTTGGAAGCAGGGAAACATCTCAAACCTGAAGGGCAGCAGCCAGTAGAGGACCAGATTTGGACCCCTGCCCCAGAGAGTGACCCTAATCATCACTCTGCAGAACGCAGCCCGGCTTTTAACTCAAGTATCAGAGCTGGTTTACTCTACATTGAGCTGCAAATTCTCGATACTGTGAAGTCTAGCGGTCACGTTTACGGCGAGACGGGGTCAGAATAAACAGCAACGCGCTGGAGAAGTGGTACCGGCTAAGCTGGTGTTGGCGGTGACGGTGGCGGTGAATCTGACCGACGTGGCTGTGACGGAGATGCTGTAGTTGGTCAGAGGGAGCAGGCGGAGGCAGAGCTCCGGCTGCTGCTCCCTGGAGCTCAGGAAGCGCCTCCCTCCATCCTCAAAGCGTATCTGGTAGTCTCTGGACCCGGTGTAGGTCACCTGAGGGATGGAACCCGTGTCAGGGCTGCCCAGTTCCTCCCACCAAGGCGAGGGGGAGGCCTGGGCTCACCCTGTAGACTTCCTCGTCCTCCTCGTACTTCTCCGCTCTCCACCGCAGACAGTTTCCGTCGTGGACGACCAAGAGATTTACGGGCGGTTTGATTTCTGCGCGCGGTCAAAAGAGCAGCGGTCAGTCAATCGTTTCTGTTCACAGCTCTTCTTCTCCCCTTCCGCGGCGACACTCACCCACACAGGTCAGGGAGGCTCTCCGCCAGGCCCCCGAGGCGCGGCAGGTGGACACGTTGCTGCCCCTCCAGCTGTGGAACCCCGCCACGCACCGGTGCACCGCCACGCTCCGGTTGTGCCACACCACCTCCGCATTCGGGAGGAACGGAACCGGGCCGCATTTAGCTGGAAAAATAGCAACCTAGGGTAAACGACTGAATCCACAACACCCTCCCCCCCCACCCCCTCCTCCCCACCACTCATCAGACATGCGATAACGGGGTCAGCATGCAACCGAAGGACACCAGAGAGGATGAAACCTAGACAGCAGCATGCCGAGAAGCAGAGAGAAACCCTTTCACTGTCATTCGTGTGGTTCCTCCTGATCAAAGGAAGCAGCAGTGGAGAAAAGTTCAGTCTGAAGTCATCACAGAACATGCAGGGTTAGGAAAATTACCCAAAGCCCACCGTCAATACACATTAATAGCTCTTAAATTCAAATGTTTTCAATGGGTTTTAAAGTACTTTTATGTATTACATTTTATTCAGATTGCGACATAATCAACAAATATCATCTCCAGGCACTTTTTATAGTTGGTTATTGTTATCAAAATGTTTGACATGACAACAAGAAAGCCAATTTTTAAAAAAAAAGAAGAAAATAACAAAAAGAGGGCAAAAAGATCATTTCAAACTGCTGTTTTGGTCATGTGACTGTTTGTGAGGTACAGGCTCCTCTCTCTCCTTCATCAAACATGAATCACATTTTATTTAACTTTTCTTAAACTTTTTTTTGTGGTTCTGCATGAATTGGGCGTATTTGACGTGGATCAAACTGGAATTGACTGCAAAATGATTACATTACAATGAATTGGAATTCTACTTGGCTTGAGTTGGACTGTATCTTTAAAAGTGCCTGGAGACGAACAAGTAAAACTGAACAGAAATTAATTAAATGACCAAATGAATATAACTTTCTCCTTTTCTTTTCTGTTTTCAAAGCATTTTTCTTTCCCCAAAATATTTTAACATGAAGTTAACTATTTAAACACAGTGAAAACATCAGATTTGAACAGTATTTCTTCACATTATGTATCGTGCCATAAATCATCATGTCAGGTGGGCTTGGAAAGACGAATAATCATGCAGCTGAGCAGGAATACGGAGGCTGTTACTCTACCTTTACACTTTACAGTGACTTCCCCCCATTTTCCCGATTGGGAACATGTTGAAATATTATTTCCACTCTCCTGGTAAAATCCATCCAAACATTCATACACCACAACAGCTCCTGGTGTGTTTTTACCGTCCCACAGGGGGTTAGTGTCAGGGAGAATTAGTGGGGGGCCGCATCTTATCTCTGCGTACAAATATGAATTAAGACAGACTAAAAGTGTGCAAGAAGGCGTAAAAAAAACAAAAAAACAGCACCATAAATGACAAACGTGGGGCAGCTTCACAGCCGTCCGTCCAGCGGGCAAAACCTTTGCACCTTCACACCACAGGTCAACATCCTCCCACAGGCCATTTTCTCCACATCTGGAGTGGTTTCTCAGGCCTCGGGTGTGACATCCCTCCTCACAGCGGTAATGCACCACGCTACCGACGCGCGAGCTGCCGCTCCACAACATTTTAGCTCGCCGTTTAAAATTAGGCTCCCCACAACTGATCTCTACGACAGGAAGACAGAAAATCGTTGAGGGGGACTGGAAGGCCCCTCATCGGTGCCCTGCAAAAGGATAGGAGTGATTTATCACCTTGGCAGGAAAGAGAGGCTCCTTCCCATTTTCCTCTGGCAGAACAAACAGATATGTTCCCTTTTCCAACATTCACATATCCACGGGCACACTCATAAGCAACCTGAGAGCCTACAGTGGAAGTTTTATCCCACAGCATGACCGCGTTGGGCTCAGGTAAAGGCTCCCCACAGTCAACCGCTACATGGGCGGGCAACAGTTCACCAAATTCAGAAAAGAGATCAAGAGAAAAAAAAAGATTGTGGAGATTATGAGAAAAAAAGATAAAAAAAATAAAAAAAGATGTTACCTTTGCATAAAATATCTGCCTTTGTCCAGTTGCCGTTATTAGTGCACACTGATAGATTATTCCCCCCACTGTGGAAAAAACCTGCTTCACAAAAGTAAATGACGGTGCTTCCAGGTGTGGAGCTGCCGTTCCACATCTGTCCCGCGTGAGGCAGGACAGGAGGGTCTGAACAGGAGATCTCTGAGACAGGAAACGGGGCATAAGGGGATGAAGCAGAGCTTTCCAAAAGGGCCGAAAACCTGACAGATTTAAGAATGTAACAAACACTTTCTCGGGAGTCGGACTACATTTTGACTTATCTAAGCAGGAAAAGCACAGCTGTGCTCAAACTGAAATGAATACGGCTCGACAAGGCAAAGAAAATGCCAAGACGTTTAAGATAATTTGGTATTTGTGCTCCTTTTTGCTCAATTTAAGGCTAAAACTAAAGTTCAGCTAAACATTCTGCATGACCCCACTCAGAGTCTGCAGCCATTATGAGCATTGTTTTAGGCCATCACTGGTTTTCACAGTAGATAACAGACTGAACCAGAATCCAGATGTTTAAACAGCTTCATCATCTTACTTTACTGACTTTTTGTGCAATTAAATTATCAAACGTGAGCTTAATTTGTCTGTGTTTTTCTGTTTTGGCTGAAGAGTTCCTGTTATATATTTTGCATTCCAGTTGATGTCTGCAAATTATTCATAACTATCCTGTTTTTTTGTAACTGTGTTTCCTTTTTTAAATTTTTCTATGTCTTTTACCCTTCTGACAACCACTTTGACCATCTTTTCATCCAATCTATGGGTGTAATTCTGCATCAAGGAGACAATTATCTTAGCTTGTCATAGTGGCACTATCAATTGAAATTAATTTTATCTTTTAAGGAGAGAGAACATAAACTTAAAAATTAATGAAAACTTGAACAGCAAATAAAAAGATTCATATCCCACATTTTAACCTTTGTAAACGCAACTATTTAATCCCGTTAACTGTGTAAATTACCTTGGCATGAAAGAGCTGGGGGTGTCCATTGACCGTTTTCATTACAGATGGATACATTACGTCCTCCTTTGTTATAAAATCCCTCTTTACAGTAATAGAGGACAGAGCTGCCGGGGGTTGTGCTATTGTTCCACACCTGCTCAGTGGATTCAATTAAAGGGGGATTTCCACACAAGATCTCTAAGAGGAACAAAATGCACCAAAAACACGTGACATGCAAATAAACCCAGGCAAGGAGATAAAATGTGATTAGACACAGTGCACAAAACCATTTAGTCTGAATGATCAGACAGTAACATTGGAACAGGTTAAAACTCTTCAAATGTGGAATAAACATACAGAAGTATAAATCAGTCCGAATTATTCCCACTCCACTGGTTCATGCTCACCGCTTACTGAAATTTGCCCCTTTGGAGTCTCCTTTTATACACATTTGTGATTCCCTCACCGGGCAAAATCCTGTCAGTTGTTTATTCTATTGACTTCTCTCAATAAATTACATTTCTTTTTCCTCCTGTCAATGTTTTGTTGATGAAATATTTTTTCTGTATAAATAGCTGACATAAAAAGCTACAAAAAGCTGACAGAATGTACAGATGAAGACAAAGGAAAAGAGAGACATAACACAAAACCTAAGAATCTATTCATATTTCTACTTTTAAATTAAGTTGGTCAGTTCAGATTTGACAAATGCAAAAAAAAAAGCATATTATGCATTTTAGACATTGTCCGAAGTTTAAAACACGACTGGAGGGAAATGTTTCTGTTAAAGCATTGATTTGAACAGTTTTAAAAACACTTTTCTTAAGCATCATGAGTGTTATGAGCATTACCTTCACAAACCAGCGTGGCTCCCCTCCACCGGCCGTCGGCCCCGCACACAGACATGTTTTCTCCCCTCCTCCACACAAAGCCGTCCTCACAGACAAACGTGGCCACGCTACCGAATGTGGTTCCTGAGATGGACTGCAGTGCGCTGTCCTCCACTGAGGCCGGCTGACCACAGTCCACCACTGAGTGGGAAAGGAGCACATGAAACCGCGACCATCTGTATGGATCTTAAAAGAGAGACTTTCAACTCAGAAATTACTAAATTTGGAGGAACATTTAGACTCACACAGTAAAAGCGGTCTATTTTTACCATTTAAAAACCCCTTTCATTTAAAATCCTTACTGGTTATTGAATTTTGCCCTTTTGGAGTATCCTATTATTGTAACACCCTCACCTGCCAAAATACGGTCGCTTATTTATTCTATTGACTTCTGTTTTTCATTGGGTGAAATCATTTTAGATTTCCCTCCTGTTTATTTTTTGTTGCCGAAGTATTTTGATCATATCAATACCAACGCTATCAGATGACACAGGTGAAGCAAAGTGAAAGACAAAGATTTAACCCAAAACCTGAGACCATTACAAATGATTTGCAGGATTATTTTGGCCCACACAATAAATGTGATCAATTTCCCATAAAAGCCCTTTGATTTCAATTGCTCACTACTTATTGAACTTTGCCCAGTTCGAGCCACATTTTGCACCCAATTGTGACACCCTTAAATGCCAAAATACTCTCGCTTGTTCATCATTCACCATTTAAAAACCCATTTGATTTAAAATGCTTACTGCTAATTGAACTTTGCCCATTTGGAGTCTTTATTTATACCCATACAGACCACTTTATAGGATTATTTAGGCTAAGAGAATGATCTATTTACCACATAAAAACCCTTTAATTTACTTTTACCTTTGCAGAAAGCGCTGTCCATCTGGGGGTGGAAGGGCTCGGACCCACCGTGGACTCGGTATCCTACCTGGCAGCTGCAGTCAAAGCTGCCCTCCAGATTCCTGCACTGAGCTCCCTCTCCACACAGCCCCGTCACCCTGCACTCATCAATGTCTGCCAAGGAGAATAAAAAAGTGAAAAAGATAAAACACCACCCACACGCTTAAACCTTTAAGGCCCAACGCCCTGCAGTACCAGGGGCAACAAGGAGTAACTTACAGGTCACTCATTTAAATACAGATATATATGGACACACACCAGAATCTGAACTGAATGCTCACAAAAACATGTCTACAACCTGCAAACTGAGTTTAGACGATTGACAATACCAGAGAGGAAACTATGATAGATTATTATAGATAGATAGATAGATAGATAGATAGATAGATAGATAGATAGATA